CAATGTATTCAGTGTATGTACAATGTACACTATACAATGTATTCAGTGTCTGTACAATGTATTCTGTAGTTGGTAGATGCATTCGTCAGTATCAGATATGCTAAACCTGGTGATTGATAAGAAGCCACATTCAGTTTATTTACAGAGTAATACTTAATTATTTTTCCAAATGTTTCGGTACCGAAACGTGTTTTATCTAGATACGAGTTTGAGTGGCATTATCTCCATCTGGGCGTAGTACTGATTGAGATGTTTGGGGTTCAGAGACAAGCACCATGCTCAGTACTATTTTGGCAAGGGACAAATCTGCCATACAATGCCCCGAAAATTATGTACAAGAGGTAAATACCAGACTTCAACAGAAGGAGCAACACAAGCCAAGCCATTAACGCTTTCTGTGTTAACTTCATTTTAATCTTGTTCACAATTATTTGGGTAACATACGATTCTTAGTGAGTAATAAAACTGTGACTACTACATGTACAGTTTTAGAGTTTAGTAAGGATTGATTCTGTGCAGCTGTATTGGCACACTAGCATAGCCACGAATTCGTACTAAGTACAACCCAATAGGGAACCGTCGGCACTTTCCGCTCGTTAACGGAAATTGCCGACGGTTCCCGATTGCATACAACCGTAACACATAATTATGTAGCATTAATAACTACAGAGTACTACTGATATTATGATTATGGAGTTATATACCCATGGTGTTATCAAACCACTCCCTATTGCACTTTAAGATGACATTCTTGTTTAAATAATTTGTGTATATTTCTGCTTGTAAACATGACATAACCGAATGTTAGGATGATATTTCTGCGTGTGTATATATTTCTCTGTGTTTATATGACATTTTCTGCGTGTGTATATATTTCTATGTGTAAAGTTCACATTATATTTCTCTGTGTGAAGTTAACATTATAGTTCTATGTGTTAAGTTAACATTATAGTTCTATGTGTTAAGTTAACATTATAGTTCTATGTGTAAAGTTAACATTATAGTTCTATGTGTAAAGTTAACATTATAGTTCTATGTGTAAAATTAACATTATAGTTCTATGTGTCAAGTTAACATTGTAGTTATATGTGTTAAGTTAACATTATAGTTATATGTGTAAAGTTAACATTATAGTTCTATGTGTAAAGTTAACATTATAGTTCTATGTGTCAAGTTAACATTGTAGTTATATGTGTTAAGTTAACATTATAGTTCTATGTGTTCAGTTAACATTATAGTTCTATGTGTTCAGTTAACATTATAGTTCTATGTGTTAAGTTATCATTAAATTTCTGTGTATTAGGTTAACATTATAGTTCTATGTGTTAAGTTAACATTATAGTTCTATGTGTTAAGTTAACATAATAGTTCTATGTGTGATGTTAACATTATATTTCTATGTGTTAAGTTAACATTATAGTTCTATGTGTTAAGTTAACATTATAGTTCTATGTGTTAAGTTAACATTATATTTCTATGTATGAAGTTAACATTTCTGTGTGTTTATAAAACAACCGCGAGTATTTAGACGACTTTCCCTTGTGCTTAGATGCCATTCGCGTGCGATGATATGCCATTTGCGTGTTTTTTATATGACATTTGCATGTGATTAGATGACATTTGCGTGTGATTAGATGATTACTGATTCAGTTCACTGATCTGTTGGTGATTTTATTACTTCGTTTATCTCATGTATTTATGATCTGCTTTGGGAATATCTCCATTGATGATTCAGATCCTGTCTGCGAGGCTATAGTGATTATGCACTACGATAATGATTCCATCCCCTTTATTCAGTAATATTATCAACCCTAAATTAGTCAGTAAAAGCGATGGAGATAGTAATCAAAGTGTAAACAAGACATAAAAGGTCGTTGCCCGTTCTTCCGACATGGTCACTCCAGTATACGGTCACGAGGACGTACATGTACAATTGAAGCTGGGTAATACACCGGGCAATGCAGTATACAGTTCGCGTATGCTTGGAGGACTCATTGGACGCCTATATATGTATAGAGATACAAGTTTAGCCGAGACATGTCAATGTTTCGACGTTATTTTGATACAGACAATGATCACCATTGTATTAATTTATTAACTTATTGTACATGCACACGTATAAAGAAAAACAGGAAACATTTTCCTGTGATAGTTTTTCTCCTGTCCGTAAATACATTTAATGAGTGAGTTTTGTTAATAGTTTTAGAAAGGGCAATAAAACGAGGACATTTGTTTCCAGTTTTACGGTGAATGTACTCAATGACCTCTCTATTCTACCTCCATCCGGTCCTTAGATCGCCCTTCATGGTCTTTTCAATCATTGACATTCTTAGTCCGCAGTAGCCAAGTCATAATGAGTACTAGCCTTCCACCACAGGGTCGCGGGTTCGAGGCCTACGTGGGGCAGTCGCCAGGTAATGGTCGCAGGTCGGTGGTTTTTTTTCAGGTACTCCGGTTTTCCTCCTCCATCCACACCTGGTTCGTCCTAAAATGAACATAGCTGTTAATAGGACGTAAAACACACATAAACCACATCAATCCCTTACCCCTACACTGCCTCTCTATAGGGTAGTGAGCCCTTCATGATCTTTGCGTTTTTCAATTAGTGCGTAATCCCATTTTGAATTTTTGAAAATAATATATGTTTAAACCAAACATATTTGCCGTCCTTCCTTATATACTACACGTACCTCTTTGTTTCTCAAGGTAGTCAGGTAGTCCGCCTCAAATCCGCTCTCACTTGACCTTCAACCAACACCAGTTAATAGTTAACTGACACTTTTAAGTCAATAATGCACAATACAAATATACTGATTTTGAATCTCAATTTTACAGTACATCACAGAGGCCGCTTTGTCGAATACTTAAGCCAGATAACGTATGATCCCTGAGCTACATTACATGGAATTGAACCTCGCTATTCTGGCCATTTAGCTGCACTGCAACAGGGACATGTTCACCTAAGAAACCTGGTTGACTTGTGGTACAGGACCAGATTACTCTCAATGAGTTTTGCGCACGTCACGTGTATGTACAGTGTGGTTTGTACCTTCTTTCCGAAAGAGTTCAACATAGTGAAACATGTCGATATCTTTTTTGAATGCTAACTAAGACGTGATTGATTAATCTTTAGCACAAAAAATATATCTACGCAATCACGAGGGTACTATATGAATTATTTCCGAAAAGAAAACCATACTGTACGAGACTTTTATAGACAAATAATAAAGATGAAATAAAGAAAATAAGAAAAGATAGAAAATAATTCATTAAAAGTGTTCTGAGTGTTAAAAAGCATCGGGTAAGACCAGGATTCGAACCAAGGACCTCCGATCTTTATACTTTTGCTTTCTCTGGACAGCGAAACTGTTTCGTGGACCAGTCGCGCTGTAGTTAATGCAAAAACGAATGTAGGGGAGATAACCATGTATGATAAACTACAGTGGGGTCCTCTCGTGGTTTGCTTGTAGTGGGACAAGTACCCTTAAATATGAATTTTAACTATGTTTTAAATTTCGGTATACACTATTAAACTCGTTTGATTAATGTGTGTAATGCGATATGTATTTTAATTGATTATACGTGCACAAAATAACTTTAAAATCTGCGTGGTGCACTATCAGCTCTCGTGTTATTATACATATCGGCGTTGTATTATTTTTATATTCTGTTGACATAGCTGTCATGATTTATGAATTACCTCACGACTGCTAAATGTGCATTATAAAACAAATTACAACCACGTCCTTTTAAAATTTTAACGTTAAATAATACGGTTGAAAAATCCGTCCGCAAATGCTGTCATTTCCTCTGTATTTTCGCATAACAAGAAAAAAAAATGAACTCTACTTCTATTACAAGTAACCTTTATCATGTATTTGTTAAGATACGGTTGAGTTGCCGAGCATATATGTACAAAAAGAATGACAAAACTATACCCCTTCGAGAGTACCACCTATATAACATACTACATGTATAACCCTGGCCGAACACATGTCTATCACGGGCTTTGTAAATCTATATATGTGCCTTGCCTTTTTTTTTTACACCGGCTGGTGTGTTGTACGGCGAAGGTGATAGATACACTTCTGTCTACGATAACGCTATGATCTGTCCGACAGTAGATATGGGTGAATATATATTGTAAATCGGCCGAACTATTGGAGAGTGTGTACATAAAATACTACGTACGGGAGTCTTTCATTGACGGGGTGATTCGGTTGGTTCGAGCACGTGTAGAGTCAGTCCTTCTGCCGAAGGTCTGTCAGATGTCAGATCCCCTGGACAGCCCCTATATAGTACACATGCCCCTGCTACAGACATATACATGTAACTGACAAACCATTGTTGTCATTCTGCTGAGGCCCCTAATACGTCAGTCACCGGGATACTGGGATTCCTGCACAGCACTGGTACGTACGGGACCCCTGTGGGATTCCAATGTCATCTGATAGTATTGTTATGTGGAAATATTAAGGCCACCTGAAAATAGCGGCAAATTAGGACACTAAAGTATACAGCACAGCATCGGAGAGGTTGGTAGTAATATCTATAGGATCACTTTGGTTCAAAACGGATTGAAGTCCGGATCTGTGAAATGGATGTGATATCATTTTTTAATTAGATATTTTTCTTTTTCAAATTTAAAAAAAGGAACTGAAATTAATTGATCTAAATATCAATAAGTGAAAACTGGAATAATTTTCAATTGAATGGACTGTGTATTTGTGAGAAGATTGGATTTTTTTTAACTTGATACACTTCTGACACTGGATACTACGACACTTGTCGGAAGTAGTCAGATATTCCTGTTTATTTGGACGGATACTAAAGCAAGGACGTTATGTGGAGTATCTGAGAAACACTTGTCTATACATTAGATACAGAGGCGGAAACACTGTGCGGTCAGAGATACACGTATGTCTGCCTATAGCTATATATATATATATATACACGTGTAGATGGATTCTAGTCAGATACACTGTGAAGTTGCAAAGATACACGTCTCACTACCTATACGTGTGTGTAGATTCTAGACAAGATACACGTCTCACTACCTATACGTGTGTGTAGATTCCAGACAAGATACACGTCTCACTACCTATACGTGTGGGTGTATTCTAGACAGATACACGTCTCACTACCTATACGTGTGGGTGGATTCTAGACAAGATACACGTCTCACTACCTATATATATACGTGTGTGTAGATTCTAGACAGATACACTATAAAGTTGCTAAGATACACGTCTCACTCACTACTTACAATATATATATTCAGACGTATAGCAGGCTGGGACACTGAGGTTACCGGAAAAGATGCACTTTTCTTTCCGTCTATCTACACTAGAAACATGTAGTGTGCTGTCTCGCGATACGCCCGTCTCATCCGATATATAGAGACATTGCGATACACGGTCTGTAGACTTGTAAATAACGCGGCAAAGACACATCGAGGTTACATATGATAGATACGTCAGCAGTCTATATTTGGAGGTACTGTCTACTGCGGGGTACATGCATACTGTACAAATATATTACTTTCTGTATGCTGGAAGGCACCAGGCAGAGACACTGTTAGATATTAAGATACACCTGTCGCATCGTCTAAATACAAGTTGATACCAGACAGACACTTCGTGAGGTCACTGATACACCTGTTTTGCAGCAGAGATACTCTGATGCACCTGTGTTAAAGCCTACTACGTACGGGCGAATACTGTAAAACCAGTGGAATACTAGATTACTATGTCAGTTAGAATCAGTCGATACAGGGCTGTAAGCGGAGTGATCGCGCAGATTCCGACTAGTTAGCCGACACCGTTGCCAATAATTCCTCATTAACACATACTGTTGTATTTCTACCCTTTTCTTTATTATGACAAAGTTTTCTCTATCGAATGACACTTCTCTTCAGTTGATACCTGATTACGTTACCTCGAAGGGAATCTTGTAGTTTCTAAATTAACCCAGTTTGTCATTTGAATAATGTGGACAAAATCGAATGCTTTAAAAGTGGCAAATTGGAATTAATTTACAACAGGATCCGTTCACGTAGCATGCGAACCTCCCAGTAAATATTGCACCAGATTGTCACTAGACAGGCCGCCGGGGTGTAGCGTGCCTCAGGGAGACTGCCTCACAGGGATGGTAGAGGTTTCTGCCACTCCATAGCATAACTACGACTGTCGCTTACACAACAACATGGAAGTACAACGGATTTTAGGATTTTTCTTCTTAACACTAATATTTTCTCTCGCCGAAAGTGGACTTAGAGAGGAGGAGGCGGACAAGACTTTAAGATCGGTCTTAGCGTGCAATCAAAACCCAGGTATGGCCGTATCGGTGGTCAAGGATGGTCATATTGTGTTTTCGAAAGGATATGGAGTTAAAAATCTGGAAACTAAGGAACCAGTGACAAACAAAACGCTATTTGGAATAGCATCGCTGTCAAAGGCTTTTGCGTCTACCCTGCTTGTCAAACTCCTGCACAGAACTAAAGAGTGAGTAGCGCCTTATACACTATTGACAAACGCTTTTCTCCTACTTGTCTAACCTGTAATTTACACTATTATGTTTGGAATGGAAAATGCTGTCTTTTTTCCTCTCCTTGATGTTTAAAATAGTCAATTATCTCGGAGCGTTTTCTGTTCTGTTCTATTTAGTTTTGGTGACTCTTGAATGGTAATTGATTTTCTGTAACTGAGCGTCTTTTAACAAAACAACATTTAGACACGTATATTTATATATCTAGAATTGAAGATGATAGATTGGTTCAGCAGTTTTCAGTAATGAAAATGCCTATTAAATATCTCTTAACGTTCGCAGACTAACGTCAGCATTTTGGAAATTTTGATTCGCTATCATATAACCTTTTATCTACTATCTGTTTTTCTAAGCAAGCGTTTGTAACATGTATAGAACAATGGATATAGTTACCGAGATAAATAGCCGGCTACACGCACGTGTTAGTGACACTGATCTGGTACAATGCTTACCAAACCCGATACACCGCCAATTACGTGTCAGTAGGGATTCCTACATACGTACAAAGAATAGCCGGTATGAACAATATGGAGGGCGCTAACACACTACACATACACAGTTCTAAAGACCAAGTGGTTTTTTTTTAAATTAAAGGATAGTTAATAATATTCTATTAAATCATAGCACGTGATCTCTCTGATATTCTTTTATTTTACACATCGCATTGATCATATATAGATGCAATCAAAACGGTGATGTCGTCAACAAGCAGTGTTAAAAGTTTGGATGTATATGGTTTTTATAATTGTGTATCATAGGGTTATAGTAAATAGATAATATGGCACTACAAAAATATATCTGGGCTTTCATACGACCCTAGAGATATTTTTGACTCTAACTTATATTTCAACGGACATGTGAAATATATAAACAGTATTTTTGAAATGTGGATTCATAATTACCTACAAAATCTTTTAGGGAGTTCATTTTTTTGTAGTTGATATCAATTCTGAAATTGGTACTGTACATATTGAAACTGGTTAGGAACAACTGAAAACCCTGCATATATTACAAATTAAGATATAGACGTGCCGGACTTACATGTTAAGGAATAAATTTATAATAAATATTATAGAAATACACATATGGATATACAAAAAATAAAAGTATATACACTCTCGATGAATAGTCAATATGTCGATGCGTGTATGTCCTGCATCGATACATACTGTATATGTACTGCATTTAAACAATATATGCCCGATCCTGATGGATGTATGTCGTAGATCCTTACACATATCTATATGTCTTTTATATACGATTCTAATTGATACAAAGATGTCCTGTTTTGATACGTGTGTTTTCCGTATTGGTACAAGTATATCCCATATTGATGCAGGTATATCCTGTTTTGATACACGTGTGTCCTGGCCTTCTCTCAGCATTGTTCAAATTTACCGCTTTGTATTGATGTGAAGAAAGTTTTATTTCAGTCTGCTGATTGTATTCTAAGCACATCCCAATCTCATTTACTGAGTATCATAATTCAGGGCACTGAAGAACTGTCAGAATATTATACAGAAGTGTCGGGTGTGTTATTATACAGAGGTGTCGGGTGTGTTATTATACAGAGGTGTCGTGTGTAGAACTATAATGCTATTATACAGAAGTGTCAGGTGTAGAACTATAATCTTATTATACAGAAGTGGCGGGGGGAGAACTATAAAGTTATTATACAGAAGAGTCGGGTGTATAACTATAACGTTATTATACTAAAGTGTCGGGGGTGTTTTTTTACAGAAGTGTCGGGGGTTGAAATATAAAGTTATTATACATAAGTGTCGGGTGTAGGACTATAATGTTATTTTACAGAAGTGTCGAGTTTAGAACTATAATGTTATTATACTAAAATGTCGGTTGTATTTTTATACAGAGGTGTCGGGTGAAGAACTATAATGTTATTATACAGAAGTGTCGGGTGTATAACTATAAGGTTATTATACAGAAGTGTCGGGTGTGGAACTGTAATGTTATTATACAGAAGTGTCGGGTGTAGAACTATAATGTTATTACACAGAAGTGTCGGGTGTTGAACTATAACGTTATTATACAGAAGTGTCGGGTGTATAACTGTACGTTTATTATACAGAAGTGTCGGGTGTAGAACTATAAAGTTATTACACAGAAGTGTCGGGTGTAGAACTATAATGTTATCATACAGAAGTGTCGGGGGTAGAACTATAATGTTATCATACAGAAGTGTCGGGGGTAGAACTATAATGTTATCATACAGAAGTGTCGGGTGTAGAACTATAATGTTATTATACAGAAGTTTCGGGTGTATAACTATAAGGTTATTATACAGAAGTGTCGGATGTAGAACTATAATGTTAGTATACAGGAGTGTCGGGTGTAGAACTATAATGTTATCATACAGAAGTGTCGGGGGGAGAACTATAATGTTATTATACAGAGGTGTCGGGTGTAGAACTATAACGGTATTATACTAAAGTGTCGTGTGTGTTTTTTTACAGAAGTGTCGAGTGTAGAACTATAACGTTATTACACAGAAGTGTCGGGTGTAGAACTTTAATGTTATTATACAGAAGTGTCGGTGTAGAACTATAATGATATTATACAGAAGTGTCGGGTGTACAACTATAATGTTATTATACAGAGGTGTCGGGTGTAGAACTATAACGTTAGTATACAGAAGTGTCGGGGGGAGAACTATAACGTTATTATACTAAAGTGTCGTGTGTGTTTTTTTACAGAAGTTTCGGGTGTAGAACTATAACGTTATTATACAGAAGTTTCGGGTGTATAACTATAACGTTATTATACGGAAGTGTCGGATGTAGAACTATAATGTTAGTATACAGAAGTGTCGGGTGTAGAACTATAACGTTAGTATACAGAAGTGTCGGGTGTAGAACTATAATGTTATTATACAGAAGTGTCGGGTGTAGAACTATAATGTTATTATACAGAAGTGTCGGGTGTAGAACTATAACGTTATTATACTAAAGTGTCGTGTGTGTTTTTTTACAGAAGTTTCGGGTGTAGAACTATAACGTTATTATACAGAAGTTTCGGGTGTATAACTATAACGTTATTATACGGAAGTGTCGGATGTAGAACTATAATGTTAGTATACAGAAGTGTCGGGGGTAGAACTATAACGTTAGTATACAGAAGTGTCGGGTGTAGAACTATAATGTTATTATACAGAAGTGTCGGGTGTAGAACTATAATGTTATTATACAGAAGTGTCGGGTGTAGAACTATAACGTTATTATACTAAAGTGTCGTGTGTGTTTTTTTACAGAAGTTTCGGGTGTAGAACTATAACGTTATTATACAGAAGTTTCGGGTGTATAACTATAACGTTATTATACGGAAGTGTCGGATGTAGAACTATAATGTTAGTATACAGAAGTGTCGGGTGTAGAACTATAATGTTATTATACAGAAGTGTCGGGTGTAGAACTATAATGTTATTATACAGAAGTGTCGGGTGTAGAACTATAACGTTATTATACTAAAGTGTCGTGTGTGTTTTTTTACAGAAGTGTCGAGTGTAGAACTATAACGTTATTATACAGAAGTTTCGGGTGTATAACTATAACGTTATTATACTGAAGTGTCGGATGTAGAACTATAATGTTAGTATACAGAAGTGTCGGGTGTAGAACTATAATGTTATTATACAGAAGTGTCGGGTGTAGAACTATAATGTTATTATACAGAAGTGTCGGGTGTAGAACTATAACGTTATTATACTAAAGTGTCGTGTGTGTTTTTTTACAGAAGTGTCGAGTGTAGAACTATAACGTTATTATACAGAAGTTTCGGGTGTATAACTATAACGTTATTATACTGAAGTGTCGGATGTAGAACTATAATGTTAGTATACAGAAGTGTCGGGTGTAGAACTATAATGTTATTATACAGAAGTGTCGGGTGTAGAACTATAATGTTATTATACAGAAGTGTCGGGTGTAGAACTATAACGTTATTATACTAAAGTGTCGTGTGTGTTTTTTTACAGAAGTGTCGGGTGTAGAACTATAACGTTATTATACAGAAGTTTCGGGTGTATAACTATAACGTTATTATACTGAAGTGTCGGATGTAGAACTATAATGTTAGTATACAGAAGTGTCGGGTGTAGAACTATAACGTTATTATACAGAAGTGTCGGGTGTAGAACTATAATGTTTTTATACAGAAGTGTCGGGTGTAGAACTATAATGTTTTTATACAGAAGTGTCGGGTGTAGAACTATAATGTTATTATACAGCAGTGTCGGGTGTAGAACTATAACGTTATTATACAAAGGTGCCGGGTGTTTTTTATAAAATGTTCGACGTATACTGTGGAACAATAGTGGTGGTAATGGATGAGAGTTGGCTTCTTGTAAAACCTTGCTTAAGGTGTAAGGAAATAAATCAATGCTTTCAGAGTTGTAAAATAGGGGCTGGTACTATTTTAGGAGCTTCTCGTTCTATACTATTTTGTATATTTGGATAAAATTAGTCTCCGAACCCAGATTACTGGGACAATACGCAGTGTAGATTAGTTTAAGTGTGCAGATCTCCCGTAACGTCTTGGTCCTCTTACCTCCGATAAATGGCGGTGACAAAATCTCATGTAGTAAAATCAATTTTCACTCACCTGATCAACCTATATAGAGGGTATGTAACGCTAACAAGGACAGACATATTCCTTATCAGCAAAGCATGGGAACATCATAAAGAAACCAGCAAAAGGATTTTGACAGTTTTATGCCTGCTCCGTCATTCATACGGCCCGATTTTCTTATGCCTGCCGTCTTCCGCACATCCCTATCGCCCCTGCATCTCGCGCTGTCAACCACGTGACGCTCTATGCTGTACGTGCATCCGTGTAATTTAAACTCATGTCATCATTTGTTCAAGCTTTATTTTCGAATATCCTGTTAGTACATTTTGCATGTACATAAGATCTCATGTCTAGTTAAACCAAAGGAGAGAAC